AATGACTAACTCCAGTAGGGAGCTAAACTACTTCTCCCCAGTTTGGGAAGGGGCCTGGCTGCCTCACTGGCAGCTCGGAATCTTTGAAGAGTAAAACTTCCAGCTCTTCCCCAGATCCCAGCCATTTTCTTACTAATTCTATGCAACCTCTTTATCTTTTTGTACATCCATTTCAGTAGAGAGGACGAGGCATAACTCATTACAGATGCATTACAGTGCTAATAAGCGCTATCCCAGCCAGCAGAAAAATTTAGAATTAGCTTAGCTTTTGGGGAAGCAAAGAACCTGCACTCTTTGGGCATGACCCTCCTATCTTACATTATTTTTGCAGAGAAACTCCAGTGAAGCCGAGAGGATAACACAGTCAGCTCAGACCTAGGCCATTTATCAAAAGCAGCAAGAGGAAATACAGAAATTATCAGATAAGGAGGGAACTTCTGGTCCTCACAGCCACCACAGTGCCATATTCTGCACAAAAGACAAATGACAGGTATGGACAGGAACTTCTCTTAGAATTGTTCTGCACAGTCAAACGGATATGTCACCAAAATAAAATAATAATAATAATAATAATAATTAAAAAAGAGAAAGTATTTAAATTCGTTTTTAAGAAGGAAATCGCTGCAGTACAACTTCTACCACCACTCACTAGATGGTAGCAGTAGTCATCCCTGCTGTTCAAGTTTCCTGTTATGAAACTGTTCATCAAATCCCTAAGCTTTTCATTACTGATCAAACAATATTTATCTATGCTAAAGGAAGGAATCAAATATTGCTACAATTGAAAAGAGTATCAGCAAATATGTGAGTTATTTCAGTAGGCAGTAAGTTATTCATAGAAAATTATGTTTTATTCACTGCTTTAAAATACACAAGACTCCTAAATTGCATTTCCATTCCTTAACATCTCCATAAAACATTGGTTCAGTTCTCCTCCAGCCATCAGTTAGTCAAGTTTCACGCACACATTGATTACTCTGGATGAAATATAAAACTGAACATTATTACATTCAGCAAAAAAAAAGCATTCTGGTAAACAGCATGTAGCCGTAAAACACTTCATTATGAAGRGTTCTATCAGCTAGCAGTTATGAGGAGCATTTTTCTTCTAACATTTTAAAAATTTTCAAGGAATTCCAGTTCTGCTTTATATTAGTTTAGGGCTTTGGAGGGGCTTTAAGAGACCTCAGTGCAGCAGAAGGAGTGTAGTTCAAGATGAGTTTATGGAAAGAAGCTGTTGATTTCCCTGTGATTTATTGGAGCTGGGAAAACCTAACCTGGATGCCACTCTGTACCCCGTGCTCTGGGTGTCCTGCTGGAGCAGGGGGGTTGGACTAGATGATCTCTAGAGGTCCCTTCCAACCTTAATGATTCTGCAAAAAAGGTGAAAAAAGACACAGGAATTTTGCTCCGCGGAAGCAGGGCTGCTCCCACATCTCAGTTTTTTGACAAATTCAACTTTCTGGCTRGGTAATTAGAGCCAGACATTCAGCTGGGCTGAGAACAGAGCCCCAGCTGGAGACTGAGGGACAGCAAGGACAGGGCCCCTGCAAATCGTGCCCTGAATGTCCTSAATTCAAGGCAGGCTCCGCGCTGCGACGCCGCGGGTGGCACCAAGTCCTCGTGTGCTCTCACGAGGGCCCTGCGTGGGCAGGGCAAGTGCAGCAAGGAAACGCCGCCGTGGGGCACAGCGAGCAGCAAACAGGACSTAAGAGGCTTGTCCAGATATTATTATAATTCCCACTCTTGTGCAGTGGGACAAACAGAACCCTGYTGGAGTTCCAGCAATAAAGAGTGCGAAAGGTAGTTGGAGAATAAAATATTTGTTATTAGTTCTGGGACTGGGTACCCAGCTCGAGAAGGGCAGGTTGCAAAGTTCAGCCTTTCATTTAGCTAAGTCCTTTTTCCACTCAGAGGCTGACAGTGTTCCTATCAAACCCTTTCTCCAGCATAAGGMAATAATTTACTATTATTCCATAGCCATACCATACTAGTGGGAAGTAAAAACAGTCAAATTCCACCAGGTACTTTACAGAAACGTGACTGAGTGCAGAAAGGTTAAGCAGTTCCCCCAAATTAAGGCAGGAAATGTAGGCAAAGCAAACAGTCAAACTCAACTTGGAGCCTAGGACAATAACTATTTTCTTCTTTAATTTCCTCTCATTAGTCTATACTATTATTCTATTACTTAGGTCCTGCTTTTAAACTGCAGGATATTTTAGCTTTTGCCAAATATCTGAGAGTTGAAAGGTCTATAGCAGCACAACATCAATCTGATCAAAACATTCAAGAGGTCCTGCAGTCACAGCCGACGGGCCTGACAGCTCAGGAGACTTCTCTAGACAAGAAATACTGTGTTTGGGCAATGCGAGGTCTCCCCGGGAAAAAACTCCTACATTATGCAGGCAGTAATCATGGTGAGTCAGGGACTGACACACAGCTAAATCAAATTCAGCCRTTTCACAGTCACTGATGCAGTTGGAGTTACTGCCTCTCAGGTGGTAGGCAAGCCTGGGGATTGAGGTATATACCCCACAYGTTTCTGGCGACTGAAAGGCTATAAGGTCCCACATACTCAACCCATTTTTTCACCTACTTATTACTTCTGCAAATGCTTCTCTGCTTCCAGTCTAAAGAATCGTGTCTCTGACTCCTAAGTGCTGTTTAAGCACATCCACGCGTTGCTGTTGAAGCTGCACACCTCTCACTGCAGTAACAAAGCCACTCGGCAAGTACCAGTCCTTGCGTTCAGGATGCAGAAGAGCATTGCAAATAGGAGGAGGTTGCAATACTGAATATAGAAGTTGACCTGAAAAGCTAGAAAGCATTTTATGAGGATGTTTTTATGCCAGTAAAGGAAAACATTCCCTGCCTGCGTGCCCAACAAATGTCCTAAAATATTCCAAGACCAGATTGCARACCAAGTTAGCCAACTTCAAGAGGAATTCTGCTCTTACATGTAAAAATAGCAAAATTCAGAGAAGTCTTCTAGTTCCATAGGAAATGTGAAGCACTTCACCAAAATATACACTAAAACCTCAAATAAAGACTCAATATTTACTATTGAAAACTATTTTTTAAGCCAATCTTATGCTTAGAACAACCACTAATTCCCAGTGCTGTGGGACTGGCAGTCCTGGTATCAAGGTGAAACCTACTTCAAGGCTGTGGCATTTCCACGCTGTCACAGGCTGTGCCTTGACCACCTTCAAGATTTTATTCCTCTCCACTGGCCAGTCTGGAGCAAATAGATGATTGCTTAAAAGACTCATTTATTTGCATTAGAGAGACCCTGAGGTAAACTCAGAATAACTCGTTTCTGTAGAGGAAACTACAGGGAATTAATAAACTGAAATAATAGAAAGCTAATAAAATGCCAGGCTCTGATGACTCCAGTGCAATAACACTTCTATAAACATAGAAGAAAAAGATCTTTTATTGCAAGGATAGTCTAGCAATGTAAACATCAACCTACTCTTAAAATTTCATTATGGAGTATTATTACCTTTATAAAGAAAAGGCAAGAAAACTATTTCTCTACTCAATAACGGCGTAAAGCTAAGAGATATATGTGGCACARTATCAAAGTAGAAAGCAAATTGCCTAAAGATCTCTCAAGCAACACTGCTCAATCTAATGATACCTTCTCCCCTTCAAATGAAAAAGTAAACCAATATGGTTTTAGGTATATTTATGGATATTTAAAAATATACCTTTTATCACCATTTCAGCCACAAACAGTGGTATTTAAGAAAAAAAGCAATGTGATGAAATGCCTTTTTTATACCTAGAGTAAGAAAGAAACTTTGTGCAAATTGATGTAATTTTTGGTTGATGGTGAGTTATTCACAACTTTTTACACTTCTTGAATGCAGCACAATAAAACTGCTAGTGCCCTGTCCATAATGAAAGGCATCTATTTGGGAATAATTTGGGGGAATTTGCAAACTTCACATCTCCACTGGTAGTACAAGGCAGCTTGCCAAAAGCACTTGCCAAGAACTCAAAGGTCTCAGCATAATGTGTTACAGGAGGCCATGCCTACTGTTTTTACCAAACACAAGTAACTACAGCAGCTTATTCTAGGATTTATAACAAAATTCTCTGTTCGGATTCCCCATGAAACTATCACTGTACACCTACGTACTGCCCTGTGCGCTGAGCACCAGTGCTCAGGTCTTTTCTTGGTGAGGTTCATGACTGTTCCTTTAGCAGAAGCACTGCCTTCCACACCCRAAAATCTGCAAATCTACACTGAAAAGGCAGGCTTAGATGGAGGGAAAGCCCAAGCAATTGGCAGGACGTGGGGCAGGTCCTGCACATTTGCTGCAGCTGCGGCCGAATTTCGCGCTGGCCCCAGCAGAGTCTTCAAGGGGGGGACTAAAGAGCAGACATCCCCTGTTGGATTTGGGCTTTGGAGCTCTTTTAACCACCGACTGCCTCACATCTCCAAGCCAGTTAAACAGAAATGAACAAGTAAACCAAATCCTCTCCACATTCATGTGCAATGCACAATTTTAACTTAATTCTTTTCTAATTYAAAGCACACAAATAACAAATGCATCTGTGTGCATGCATGCTATATCAAACATTGCGCATTATTCATGTCTAGCTCTGGTAAGAGGAAGCAGGGTCTGGGCATGCTCCGATATCTGTGCTGCCCCTCCGTGTAGGTTGTTTGGATCCAGGAAGGGTAGCACATTCAATAAAAGGGAATTTTCACTGTGCAGACGGAGGAGGAGACGCTGCAAACAGCGCACGGAGATCACATCACCCCTTTTCTCAGCAACCACTCCCTGTTTTTACACTATGTGTGTTTGGGATCACYGCTGCAGAATGCAAAATGGCCGTAAGCGGCGCTGAGATCCGCATCAAGYGCACAGGGCCTGGCCGTTTTTAACCGGGTTCTTCCCGTGCGCCGAGGCCAGGGGCCCCGGGGCCGGGCCCGCGCCGCCCTCAGGCCRCGGCCGCTGCGTGGTGGCGCGGGAGGCGGTGCGGGCCATGGCGGCTGCTGAGGAGCTGGCGCTYGCCTTCCAGCGGCGCTTCCTGCCGGCGCGCCCGCTGCCCTCCTTCCCGTGGCCGGTGAGCGGGGTCGGGATCGCGGTGGGGCAGGCCGCGGGGCCGGAGCTGAGGCCAGGACCGCGGCACCCCCTCCTAGGCCGCAGCTGGAGGGAGTGGGGCCAGGGTCATTTGCAGCAGCTCGGGAGGAGACACCAATGTGAAACCGGGGAAGACCCCGATGTGAAACCGGGCAGGGGATGCTCGCGGCAGCCCTCGTGGCCGGGATCCCCCCCGCGTATAACTGGGGCYGCTTTGGTTTTCTAATTAGCTCTGCTCGGTCTTGGGGAATGTTAATTCTCATTTGTCTCCCTCTCTGCTATTTTAGGAGCTTGAACAAAAACTGAGGAGTTCACCGGATTCCTCGCTGCTGGCGGACATACTGCACAAGGTAACACGCACTCCTGCATCACGGCATTTAGGGATACGCTTTAGGGGCAGCCAAAGCTGTGCTGAGCAAACGGAGCTGCCGTTCTGCAAAACGTTGCCCTGCCCTGCTTTTTGTTGGCAACTGCATCCATAGGGAAAGCGGAGCAGTTTTCCTTTGGGCCTGGCAAAACAGGAAACTTTCTGTTATTCCTGTTATTTAGCTGTTCATCATTAGCACCCCCTCTCCCCATCAGAATTTCAGAATTACAGAGCAGGGTGTTTATGTGGGCACTGATGTCTTTAAGATCACAAACATATCAGCTAAATTAATCTCGGCAACTTAATTCATGGTCCTCTATTAGTAAGAAAGAAAGAGGTGATCTAAACCACCATCAAAATTCAGACACTTTTACTGAGTTAAAACTTAGTATTTAGACAGCAGTTCATAAATAAAAATGAGAAGGAGCCAACTGGGCTCTTTTTTTTTTCCCCACCCAGTTTTCTATTTACTTTTTGAAAAGTGAGGAATGCATTYGCTTCCTCAGATTTCTACCCTGTCAAACTTAACAGAAATCACCAAATACAATTTTCTGGCTCAGTATCACTTCTTTATCTACAAATGGAATCACTCTGCATGAAATGATGCAAAGAGAACCAGGTTAATATCTCCATTTCCCTTCTCTGGCCCTGTATTGCCTTTTATAAAATCTTCACCTGCTAATTGATTTCACTGCAGTTGTTGATTCCTTGTTTCAGACTATTCTCCACCCCCTGTGTGTACAATATCCTGCTTCTGTCAAGTATAGAAGATGCTTTTTAACTGAACTCATTAAAAAGGTAGTATTTACTTTTCATATGGCTTGAAAACTTCTTTTTTTTTATGTCTTGTGAGGAGTCTTCTTGTTAAATGAATTCTAGCATTCAGTGTGAAATGTTGGAGCAAAGATGTATTAAAACAGTATTGGATGTGTGTATAGTCTCTGTTTCAAGACTGATAAAATTGCTACCTGAAACTCTGTACTATTCTCTTTGACACAGCATGAATCCACAGCAGCTGAACCCTTGGATGAACTGTATGACACGTTAGCAGAGATTTTAAATAAGGAAGAATCTACACATTGTTACAGAAACTACTTACTGGTAAAAACAATATTGCATTATTATAAATCACTTGAAAGAATTAAAATTAAGCAGTAATTGGCTTATAAAGTAACCCCCCAAAATCCAGAGCTTCCTACCTTTCTCCAGATGTTTGTACTGATTTTAAACTGTACAATTTGTTGTCGGTGCTGATGCATCTTGCTCTTCCTGCATGTGTCTTGCAGCCCACAGGAGAATCTATTACCCTTTCTGAGGACGTGGCAATCATCTCACAAGGGACCACAGGRCTTGTCACTTGGGACGCTGCTCTTCATCTCGCTGAATGGGCAATAGAGAATTCTACAGTTTTCAGTAACAGGTAACAATCACATCACAGGTAGAAAGATGGGGAATGCTGCTAATATATTTTCATCAGTATCATGAATGAGCTATGTGATTATAATTTGATAATATACATTATTCACCCCCTAAAGAACTGAAATTTAAAATACTGCCTATCTTTTAAATGTGAGCAAGGAAGTCTTAGCAAGTCCTAATTTCCCTTCTCTAAACATTCTTAAATCTCTAAGAAATTAAGAAATCGTACAGTAGTTTTCTCAAGATCTCAGAGGACATCACAGAGGTTAATGAGCAGTGCTTCTACCTTATCCTGGTTTTAATGGTAGTAGTAGCATGGCACAAAGCAGCTGATCGATTTGTTCATGACACTGTGAGCCTTGGGGCCTAATGACTACACCCTTCCCCCTTGACTGACTGCTGCTCATCAGGACTGTTCTGCAACAGCTGAGCCTGAATCCAGAGAAGACTTCAGGGTTACTTTGAGACAGGTTACTCCAGGCAGTCTGACCTCCTCTGTTCTGTAGGCTATTCAATTTCAGCTACCCCACTGTCAAACCAATAACCTTAATTAGCGCACTTAGTTCTATGATGGGAATCACTTTACCTAACTTTAGATGATGGTAGTGCAGGTGTCTACATCTGATCTCATTATCTAAACTCTGTTTATAACCAGCAAAGAAGAACAAATACTCAGCTGGGTTATTTTAAGTATCTGCCTCATAAGTAAATGGATTGTGCTGTAGAAGTTCTGTTCTTTTCATTGCCTGTGAAAAGAACTGGACCAGGCAGGATGAAAACAACCATGCTGCAGATGTCCAAAGCTGAGTGGAATGCATCTCACTCCAGGGATGGAAACGCCCTCTCCATAGGCAGGAGACTGAAGTTCTTCATTTCTTCAGACCCAGACAGAGAGCTGAGGGCCATGTCCTGTCATAATCATTATAACATTGGAACAGGCACTTCAGCTTGGTTATAAATCTTATCTTTGGATAATCTGCATTCTGTATCTTACATAAGTCTCCAGTTGCTCCCAGAAATGTTAATTCTATACATATTTCAGTAACTAATTCTTATGCTTAGAATTGCATCTTCATTAATTTTACGTTCTAGTTTCATAATTAAAATTATCCTCCTAAAACTTATTTTACTCCATTAACTTTCAGGACAGTTTTGGAATTAGGAAGTGGTATCGGCTTCACTGGAATTGCAATCTCCAAAGCCTGTAACCCCAAGGCATATATATTTAGTGATTACCACCCCAGTGTTCTCAAACAGCTGACAGTAAACATTTGTTTGAATGGCTTTGTTTTGGAGCCTGAAACTACTAATCATATCGAGATGCAGTCCCAAGGCCAGAAGGTAGAAGGGATGAATTACCAGAAACCAAAACTAACTGTTGCAGAACTTGACTGGGGTTCAGTTACAGAAAAACAACTGGTGGATCTTCAACCTGATGTGGTCATTGCAGCAGGTAACATCAATTTCTGTTTATGCCTCCCTGTGTGATATCATGCAGCAATAAGTAAATAACAAGGACAAAATGCAATACTACTCGTGCACAGCTCGGTCATTTCAGTTATATCTGAAAGTACGACGCGTACTTGCAATTCATTTCACCATTCTTTTTCAGATATTCAATAGTTGCTTACATCAACTGCTTAATCAACTACAAAGGTCAAATTTGGCAGTCTCATAAGAGAAAAAAGCATATTAAGAAAGTTATGTTTTTGGAAGTTACTTATTTGCAGCAGTAGGCTTTTATTCCCTGATTTGGAGCTTGCAAAGCAAAAATTGCCTAACAGTTCGGGTGAGGTAATAAAAAAACATCTTTGTCATTAAAGGCATCCCCCATTAGATGCCTAAAATGCAGTCACTGATAGCTAATGTTAAGATGTTAATGCCATGCTGCTCACAGAATGCACAAAATAGCCCTAGATTCGTAAAGGTAAGATAATTCAAAACTGAGGGCAAATTACATACATTTATCATTTTCCATTACTAGCTACTGCAGCACAGATTATTATGTTTTATCAGGAGTAACTGGTACGTGAGTCACCGGTACATGCATTTGATCTTGATCTTTCTGTGTCATGAACAACCACCTCTATCAGTCAGTTTTCAACACAAGACTGACAGACTTCAGGATCACACTACTGAACAGTCAGGCTGATATATTGTATAAATGGTCAATTTTACCTTATTTATCTTAGAGAGGAATATGATTTATCTTTTCATTTTGTAGTTTTCATCCTACTTTTGTCCATTTCTCAATAAATGCCATGCCCTTTCTTCTTGTGCAGATGTGGTATATGATCCAGAGATAACATTAGCCCTTACAGGCCTGCTACAGAAACTCTCCACTTTGGGAGCAGATGGGAAACCTCCCGAGGTCTACATTGCCTTTACGGTCCGGAATCCCAACACGTATCATCACTTCAAGGCTGAACTTGGTAGGTGCCTTCTTGTTTAATGTGTCAATTGTTTTGGCCTCTTTCCCAGTTGCTAAAGCTGTAACAGAAATGAGCAAGAACTGTTTTTTTTAGTGGTGGCTGTTTTCTGAGATGCTTGATCCTTAGCTCAGGCCAGTGGAGGTCATGGCTCTTAGGCTGACCTTCCCACATGGGCTGCATCAGGAGATTGGATCTCAGCTTTTGCTACATTCTGCCTATCGTAACTCATGTTTGTTTTAGTGCCAGCTTGTGATGAATTGCAAGCTTCATGGTAATAGGAAAAATCATTAGGGTTAAGGTCAAAGGATATCTGGGCTGCACTGTTGCTGCAATAACGTTCCAGATGCAGCATAAAACTTCACCTTGACTAACTGTGCCTGAGGGAATTAAAAACAAAAGAGATGAAATAATGAAGGTTGTTGAATTTCACAAACTGACAAAAATCTGTCTTCTGCAACCTACTGGCTGTACAGCTGGTCTTCAGCAGTTGGTTAATAAAATTTTGACTGCCTAGAACAGGCGTGCCTGTTAATGTTTAACAATACACACACAAAAGCACTTGCCTGTTGCTTGAACGGCATGCCGAAAGATCTCTTCTTACAGGAGCTGGCACACAACTTTTGTTCTTCATTTTGTTTTGAGCAGAAATCTAATTCCCGTGTTTCTTTCCACAGACAAAATTGGGATTGGATGGCAGATTATTCCAACGCACAGGAACAGTATTTTCCTCTGTGATCTGCAATCAAACATAACTATTCTACAACTATTGATATAGATTTTAGAAACCCAATACAATCAGATTTTTTTGACCAACAGGAACTATTTCATACCTACATTATCTTGAATTCCAGAAACAAATAAGTAGCATTAGGGACACAACTGTAGGCACAGACTGTTATCCAAGTGCACTGCATTTCCTCCCGTAATTGCAAACTGGTGTAAGAAGCAGCTGCCCTTGACGGTTTTGATTTGTAAGGAAAAAGGCACCCTAATCATACTGCACTTTGATGCTGCACAGGCAACAGAAGTGAACTGTAGAGTTTCAACTGTATTCCAATTTGTAAATAATGGAAGCACATCTGCAACATCACAGGATGGATATCTCACACTGAGAAGGGAACAGAACCATGTTGCACAAGAATAAATACTTTTTAATATTGAGAACCTTCGTTGTCTAAGTGCACTGTACCGCAAGGAGGAAAAGATTTTTTAAATCTAAAAATAAATAACTTGGCCTCGTATTTTCACATTCCCAATAGTGGAACCAAATCCCATGTCAGCAGTCACTTCTAACAAAACCAGGTCTCTGTGGTAAAGGTGGTGCTGAAAGAGAAAGGGAAGAGTAGCAATTGGCTGCCTGGTTTGACAGAAGCAGATATGAAAYGATAACCAAGTGAACTGGCCTAAAACCTTTGGTGAGGGATTCACTGCGATGATCCACCATCCTGGAACCAGGAATTTCGAAGGGAGGGCCTGATGTCTGCCATTTGTCTCCAGTTTATAAATAAGGCAAGATATATAGTGAGCTCTTCTCAATTGTACAACTTTCCCTAAGCTGGAGCTATGTGAGCCAAGATAGCAGTTTACACTGGCCAACTACTGCTAAGTATTTTTCATATCCATCTTAGTATTTAGGAAGTACTTTCCTATGCTGGTAGAAGGAATTAAATCACTCTTATTTTTGTCATGGCACCAAGAATTCAGGACAGACTTTTTTTACACCTACATTTAAGCAATGAGAAAAAAAATACTACACCCACTCACTGTGACATGGAAAAAAGGACTCAAAACATCTTTGCAMGGTTTTTTTTTCCTATTGTTTCACTTAATGAACTTCTGGTTTATTAAGGTACAAGCATCTTTCTTACAAGCTTCTACTTACTATAGGAAGTCACAAAGTGAATTTTTTGTATTCAAGAGTGTTTTGTACTGCTCCAGCTCTTGAGAGAATAGCCAGATAAATAATTGAGGCATTTCCAATTAAGAATCAGAGCACACACAGCACCTGCGATAAGACGCACTAATATTTAATTCCATTTTCAAAAAAAAAAAAAAATCCCTTCAGGCACACTGCAGATGCACAATGTAGGAAGACAGCAGAAACTCTCCAACAAATATAGCTAAAAATGGCAAAATAGGCATTAGCCAAAGAGTAGTTCTAAGACAGGCAAGGTTTGGGGCACCTAGCCCAGTTTCCTTAAACAGCCATTAATCAAGTAACAGAAATGAACACAACTATTTTTTTACTGTCAGGGAATATTTGTCACTCCTGCAGAACTAGAAAATGAATAAAGCTAAACCATCATTCTGTCTTTACTTGTCCAAGCAGCAACTGTATGATAAAACTAAACACATTTTCTTCTCTAATGACTGACATCTATTTTTAAAAAATTCATAAAGATGGTGAAGCAAACAGCCCATACATACTGAGTCTGCATGTGAATACTACCTAAATAAAAACAAGGCTATACCTGAATAAGCATTCAGAAAGTGAAGTGCCTTTTTACTGGATTAGACGTACTGTAATAATCTATTTTTGCCTCTTCTATTCATCTGTTCAAATAGGAGTACATTTTATGTTCTTTCTCAAGGTAAATGGGTACATTTACTTCAGTGTACAAGGCCAACAGTCCTCAGAACTGCCTTTCTCTCAGCATTCAATAAAGCTGCTATGTATCAATGACTGTGTTTCATACTCCTGCACACACTGCAAGAAAAAAAAGAGAACATTTAAGCTAAATGGTTCTCTTAATAAAAATATAAAGAGGATATTCAATACTAGTCAAGAATACAAACTGTTAAAGGAAAAAAAAATACAAACAATCATCAGTTCAAATAACACCCAAATAAAAAGCATCTCCTACTTCTAGAGAAAAGAAACCTTATATCATCTAAATCATTTACTGAAAAAGAGGAAGTAACGTATACTGTATGTACAGCAGGTATAACTGTTTTGCTTCATATATACACTCAAAACCTATATCAGAGTGTAATCTTTAAGCAATACAAGTAACAGATTTTGCATGTATGACTTCCTAGAGTAGCTCAACCCCTCCCCACTTTCTAAAGATTAATTCCAAGCGATCAGGAAGGTTGTCCAGCTGGCAAGGCAGGAACCACCGCTTTCCTCAATCCTTACACAATCAGTGCATGACCTCACCTGCAACTTCAGTGCTACTCTTTAACTCGTACAAGAGACTCAAACTGTGAAGAAAGTGTTTAAACACTTGTCCCAAGGTAAAATGGTTAAAAAAAAAAACTGTAACAAATCATAACATAAAATGTTTATTCACCATTTATCACATCTATGCAATTCCAGGAATGTATTAGCTATTTTTCCCCACTCTCTCCTTCCCCCACAAAAGTCCTTCCTTCTGCCCAAACAAGGGCAGGACAGTCTGGTCCCAGCTCTCATCCCAGCGCAGCTGCCCGGATGCCTGAAGTTTTCTTCTGAAATTTTCAAGCTTGCCTTCCAGTGTAGGAAAATCCAAGAAAAGCAACTGTAAATTGTTTTTAAAACAAAAAGAAAAACCACAGATTAAAAATGTAATCATTATTAAATTTTAGGTTCATTCTAGTATTTCCTAATTTTACCCTGAACTACATTGTTACATAAAAATAAAGGTCCTTGGTCTGACCCTCTAGACAAGATAAGATGACAATATTTTAAATGTTATTGATTCACTAACAGCTTCAGATTCATATACAAATAAAAACATGACCAATTAAATTCACCAGACAAAAGAATATCCTCCAGGAATGTAAAATACATAGATATGAAAAGGTAGCTGACAAGTACCTTTCTAGTTATAGCCAACAAGGCAGAAAAAGAATCAGTCAAACTTTTACCTTCAGCTGTTCCGCAAGTTCATTTGAATCCCTAAATATCAGACCATTTTCATTGTGTTTCACGAGTTCATGTAAACTGTGGATAAAAGTCATAGAAAAAAATATGAGAGAAAAGGCAGCAATTAAAAAATAAATTAAAAAGTTAACAGAGCACAGCATTTGTAGAGACTGTGCTACGATATCTGTAACATTAAGATCCTTGGCGTGTACATAGGAGTTTAATTCCTCATCGGGGCAGGCAAATTTAAAGATTGCTTCCCCTTCTATATACCATCTTATCCAGGTCCACCATTATGTGCCAAACTGCCCTCTGTGTCTTGGTGCTATTTATTTGGACATGCATTACCACTTAGGGCAACAACCTTTGCATTAAAATTAACACACAAGGCAAATCAGTCCATGAACTGGTTTATGGGACTTTCAAAAACTTCTACCAGCACAGGAGGAAGAGGAAGAAAGGTGGCAAAGGTGGAAAGGTATAACTGGGGAAACCCCAGTAGGAACAAAAACATAAGGTGGTTACATGGTTGCAAAAATATATCTGGTTACAAAATTATACGGGTGAACTTTCACACAAAAGAGACTCAATTGAACTATGCTAGGCTGCACAACAAGTAATCTTAAGTTTTTTTTTTTGCTCTCTGATAATTAGTTTTAGGTGATACAATCTGTTCTAAAAATCACATAGAAAATTACTGACTAGTCACAGTGTTAAAGACATTACAGCAAAAAGAACACATTTTTCTTTATAGAAGCCATTGTTTCCTCAAAGAACTACAAACTGTACCTCTAACTATGCACGCTCTCATCCTTTCACAGAGCAGACACATGTCTATATGGAGGGGAAGCATTTTTTAATTAAGTATGCAGAAACAAACTGTCCAATCCACTTGCATTACCGTGGTTTTTCTTTATGGCAATGGGTTGCATTACGTACTCTCATATCTTTTAACTGATCTTAACGAGAACAACTCTGATTTCTACCATTTATCTTACTGAATTTAAAATGTTTTTTTTTTTAAACACAACTTAAACTATATCAGAATAGACAGGCTCTTACCAATCAAAGTGTATTGCACATACAGGTAAACAGCAGCCAAACATATCTACCACCTTCATGGGTAAATCCAAGCCACTGGATGATTTATGGAGACACACACCCAGGTCTGCTGAGCCTGAAAAGCCAACAAAATCAAACAGTCCAAATGCTTTGAAAACACCTCTACTAATCAATATAAACCTTTTTATTTCTATGGGTGACATGAGCTAAACATGAGCCACTTTTCAATGCCATCCTGACTGACTCAGTTTCGGGCATTCAAAAAATATTATGCAATACATTTTGGTACTAAAACTAGCCAGGCTTCTCTAAACATACTAGAGAAGCTGATATAAAATGGAATTTTAAAACTTCACATATCCTAAGAAGCCTTTCTGCCCCTTTATCTCCTAAGATGGTTAGGTGTATAGGAATACCCCACCAGAATGTAGACCAGATGTGCTTCACGGCTCTCTAGCAACCTCATCCAATTCAAGTGATTTCAAAACAGAAATTACAATATCATATTTATTACCCAGAAACTACCAAATTACCTAGGTATTTGGCTGCATAAATGAGCAGTCTTTAAGCCTTCAAAATGTAGAACAGGTTGAATTTGCAATTCACTATGGTATTAGGCTTACTTGTACTTGATGCTATTACAGGAATGTGTTGAGGGAATGTTCCTCTAAAGAAATGATAATTCAGAAGTTCAACCACTTCTGGTTGCTCAGTCAAAAACTTTTATGATTCGCTTTACTGAACAGATCCTGGGGGTAAACTGCAACATAAATGGGCACATTTTATTTCAGCCTGTGGAGAACTGCAAAGACCAGATTAAAACAGCAATGCAGATACTATGTCTGCTTCTCAAAATAGCTAGGAAAGACTGTATAGTTACAGAAGCTTGCCAGTTTTGCTGGCATAARGAAAAAAACACAACCATTCTATCTCTCTACTGTCATTAGTGAGAAATTTCTCTCACTGTATTCACCCGTGCAAAATTTGGATCAGCTATCTGCAACTTTGCTAAGTTGTTTTCCATATCCTCATGTCTATTTAGCAATCCACTATTTACCAAGCAAAAGAGGGTAATCCTCCGCTTCAAGCCACGGTGTACAGATCTGGATATGCTTGAAATGCAGTTTATCAATCAGCTCGTTGTAGTATTCTTTTAGGGGTCCTTTGCCTTGTTAAAACGGGAAAAAAATATTAGTGATTTTATTGGGCTGATTGAAAATAAGGTGCCAAGAAAGATACGTGCTATAATCCTCCAAAAGAAAGCAACGCAATAGTAATTAGTAATTAGAAAAGTTTGCCGTTGGTATCTTCCAGTCTTGTCCTAAACAATGCTAACTGGTGCTAAATAACTAATAACCAATTTCATCAGCCCTTTAACAAAAAGGCCTGTCAAGCCTGCTTGTTCTGGAAAAGATACTCTCATCAAATAAGTTTTGGAAAAAAAAAAAAAGGGGGATGTAGACAGAACAGACAGTGTTTTGTTAACATTCTCTTTAATTGTAAACTAAAGTTCATTATGTTTTTTTTTTTTTTTTTGTTTAACAGGCCAAACATCAGAATTCTACATTTCTTTTGCTGCAGCATCTCAACGTTCAAAACTAAAGTAATGCACAGCAGTAAGAGATGAGTGGGCTGAGAAATTCTCCTGTTTACAAATATGGCACGTTACTTTGCTTCAACGGTCCAAATAAATTATTAGTCTTATTTATAATCAGACATAAAGAGATAACAGTCTCATCCGTCTCTTCACCATCAACAGACAAGTTAGCACAGTGTGATGACAGAAGTGTCATTTTTTATATTAGCACTGAAAGAAATTCTAAAGCCAAGAAATGATTACCTGTTATCACACATACTAAAGACGGCAGTTTGATTCCCTCATTGATAAACTCTTCATAATCTGGAGAAGATAAAAAAAACTTTAGAGTTGATTAATACATGGACACTTGTTGACCACAAATGGTCTCAGTTTACAAATCATTACTTCCCTTACTTTACTTGCAGCAATGTTTGAAAACATACATCTACTAAGAGCTGTAAATTTAGCAGTTATAGAAATAAATTCATGAATGTTTGAAATATTCACTATTCATAAATCATTTGACTACTCCAAATCAGCTGTTTCAACATATTTAGAAACTGCAGCTGTGAAGATTATCTAATAAATCAACATATATTTCCACCTTTCTTAATTTCAAATGCTTCTGGAGAATACATATAATAGCTTGCAAAGTAAAATTACAGTTTGCAAGCTAGTTTGAAATATAACCCCTGAAAAACTGTTTTGATCAAATCCAGATGTTTTTGGACATCAGACAGACAAGATCCAGTTGTCTGTTTTAATTGCTACACTTAAGCCACTGGCACTTTTTCAAATACATTTGTATTTTCGCTTGAATTTAGAGGCAATTAGAGGAATTTTATTTTCCAAGAAGTCCTTCATAATTGTTTAGAATACAGCCATAGCCATTTGAATAGCAGAAACAAGCTCCTTAAAACCTACCTTCCAATGCTTTTAAAAGGACAGAAAAATCTTCATCCTCTGAAAGAGAGGGTTTTATTAGTGACATTCATATTACTATTATTTGTAATAACTTACTGTTTTTAAATAATAATCATTAGGAAATGTGAGAAAATCATGATTATTAAACATGGAATATGCTTTTCCCACTGAAAAGCTTCTGTTACTATAGCTCTGGGGTTTTTTTTCTGTATTTTTTAAAATAGCTCTTTTTTTTTAATGGTAGTTAAATATTAAAAGCAAATTATTTATTTCCAAACCTGTCCAGCTTGTGCTGCTGATTAGAAGAGCAGGCCGTCCTCTGGCTTTTGTCACACATCTATTTTTATGATCCATTTCTGTAAAGGCAGACCTCTCAGCACTCGAATTGACAGACTCTGTACTATGTAAACAGAATTTTCTAAATACGGACTACACAAACAGCCAAAAAACACAGAAGGAAATGCTGTGCTTAGCTGGCAAGAATATTCAAGTGTTTTGGTTTAGATCAGTTGCTCATATTCTCTGAAAAGATATTTATTGCAATTCTGATGTGCACAGGAATACCTAATCACAAAGAGATCATCTTTCACTTAGTATTGCTGTCAAGAGCCCAGTAACACTACTGCTATCAGCATGATTCCTTCTAGAAGAGGAGGAAACACAGCTGCTGCCTTTCACCCCTCAGATATTCTAGTAGAGATTCCCTTTGTACTAAGTCCTATTTAATATATATATTATTTTACATAATAAGAATTGTGTTGCTACCATTCAATGATTTTACTTATTTTGTCCTCTTTCAAGGATAATGAAGGTAGCTTGCACATCTCCTGCCCAAGAGGACATGAAAACCCTTCTGTAACTTGTGATCCTGTGCAAAAATATTTCTATTAACTAAGTGCAATAACTTTGTGCCATTCAGTTAAGAACTGTAATTGCATATTTTACTTACATGGACTGTGCTTTGAAAGGTTCATAGACTTTGGCAAGCTTCATATACAATTGATGTTGAAGTTCTAAAGGCGTTTCCTTAAAATAAGAAGCCGGTTTGTCATAGAGAGTTATTGCCCTGTAACAAAATAAACACACAAGTTAAATAAAAAAATATATCTAAGATGCAAACTGTAAAGAAAGAATGACAGGTTACAACACTGTAAGAAGGGAAGTAATTAATTAAACAAAATAACRATTAGACTTTTATGACTTCTTATATTTCTAAAGTTCTCTGCAATAAAAACTTTACATATTAGAGTGAACCCAGTAACAAAAAGTCCCTTCCTAAGCACATATGCAAAGGATGTAACACAACCACAAAACTGCAAATGTCATTATATTCATTTTTTAACTTACTTCATAACCATGCCTGCACAGATTTGATTTTAAAGCCCTACGATCACAAAAGAATAATCTGAAGAACAGACTAACTGTAAGTTAATGCATTGATAGTAATGCTCAGTCTGACTCTATAGGCAGTTTCATAGCAAAGTTTCATTAAACTCCCACTTTCTAACCAACGGTGYGTTAATTACGAAAGCCAATGAAGATTCTCAAACACTCATACTTCACTGGCTCATTAAAAAGCAACAGAACTAACATGTTTCAGTAGTGATGGAAGGAATAGGGAAAGCTGTTTTTGTAGGATTTTTCTATATATATAGAGAGAGAAAACATCAGGGCTGCGCATCTTAATCTTATCACAAGTATGTACAGAGCAACCTTAGAAGTATTTGACTTACTTGATGTTGCACTTCTCCCACAGATCTTCCTTCATCGCATTAGTGACACATAAGTTATAGTCAGACATGCGCCCAAAAAGCTTTTCATACCTGACAAAAGAGAAATATGTGTTAGGAAATACACACAGATAATCTCAATAGCCAAGTAGCAGCTTCTCGCCAATTACAATGAAGTCCAAAAAAGTAAATGTAAACAAACAAAAATTCAGTAACTGAAATTTATATGCGACTTATGCACTGACTCCTTATACAGGAATAACATCAGTGTATGAAAACTGATACAGGATGATTCTGTTAGCATTGAGAACAAAATAATTAAAACACTCTATGCATCTCCAGCAAGGTGTATTCAGCAAGAAACACAACTACCGAAATACCATTAAAGACTGGTTGGAATGTAAGCAGCAATCAAGAACAAAGACACTGGACTTGAAGCAATTATAGTAAAAAGATCAAAGTTTGCAAATATACATAAAAAGTCTGTTTTATTCTGACTTCATAAGTTAAGCAAAGAGACACATGCAAATTACAGAATTTTAACCATATGAATGAATCTGTTAATTCCTATGACATTCTCCAACCTACTCAAAAACATACAAGTTTCCAGGACTTTAACTTCTTATTAACAAACAGATCACATACCACATTCATGTACCTACATTGTTCTGGAACATTTCATACTTAAGTTGAAAATAAACAGGCTTTTTTAGAGCTTGGACTTATTACAATAATCCCCATCCTTTACAGTAATTGTGTGTAAACACACATGTATGTGAAAGATTAACCTTTAAGATTAAAGACGGAAGGGAGTCTTAACAATATACAACACAAAGTAAGGGTGGTTTTCTTTTGGAAGCTGCTTCCCTCGTGTCACAGAATGATATTATATCATTCAGAAAACATATAATATATAATATAATATATAATATATAATATATAATATATAATATATAATATATAATATATAATATATAATATATCATTCTCTGAATATAATTCTCTGAAGAATCTGAAATTCTTTCAGATTATATAAATTATTTTATAGAATAAAGCAGCCTAGATGGATTTTTAGCATGCTTTGCCATCTACCTTCCTATAAAATTAGCAAGGACATCTTAYAGAATTTGTTTTCTGAAAAGCTAGAAAAACTTGTAAATAAAAAACTACTATACAAACCATTTTGCAATTTGTACTAGCGGGTGATTTCTTCCATGAATCAGACTCATTATAGTATATCCATAGTTATGCCAATCAATTATGAGTTTGCTTCTCCGTACAAGACACACTAGCCWGGCGACAGCTATACTAGGCAGACCCGGAGGATTCTGTTTAATACATAAAACAAGTACAAATAGTGTCAGACTGGGGTCAAGAGAGAAACACCGGGCAAGTACCAAGATAGTGACAGGGTAGGGGGAAGACTTAAATTACATTGCTTTTAAGAATCATAATGAGCAGATAACTTTGTGTTCTTCAACTGCATAATCTCTACTTTTTGCTATGAATACTGGTAGGAATTTCAAATTTTACTGTCAAATCTGGATAAAGTCCCCTCCCTCCCTCCAGTAAATAAACAAGCTTTTCCATTAGGATTTTCTCTTCACTAATATCCATACCAATGAAGTATGAAAGCTGAAAAATTAACGGAAAGTCTTAACATGTGTTATCAACAGGAAAGTCAAACCAAATACATATTTTTATTAATAGGCTGACATCATGGATCTTACCAGCTTCTGCCCTAAAATAATTAGAAAAATAACCTTGAGTGCTCAAAAGAAATGCTGTGCAATGCAATACCCATTTTTTATCAAAATTACACACAAACATACCTGAAGCAGGATGTAGGATGGCCGATCTATCCTCAACATCGTGTATAGCAACTGCACCGCTTGGGCAATGACTTTTACAACATACTGGAAAATCTTCGGTCCGACTGCAAAGTGACCGAGAAAGTCGGTAAGAAAAAGAAAAAAGAAAAAAAAAATGTTTTTTCTTTAGGTTTTCTAGGGTTCCACCCACCCCGCAGTGCGCTCAGCTCCGAGAGGGCCACGAKCCGGATGTTCGGGTGCTCCAGGAGGTCGCCGTGGGGCTTCGTCTCTGCAGGGGGATAAACGGCCGCCGTGAGAGAGACGCCGTCCGTTAACGGCAGCCGTGAGAGACACGCCGACCGTTAACGGCCGCCCGGGGTCGGGGCGGGGGAGGCCGGGCGCACTCACGGAGGAAGCCGAGCAGCGCGACGCGGCGGCCGCGGCGGGCCAGCGACAGCGCGTGGTACTGCATGCGCGGGCTGCGGCCCACGTCGCCCAGCACCGCCACGCACACGGAGCCCGGCCCGGGCGCCGGTTCCGAGC